CATCGTCTAACTCGACGAACCACATTAAACGGGAATTTTCATCGGTTCCTTTGTACTTTGAGATATCTATCTTTAAGGTTTCGGGTCGACGCATGTGCATCGGCCCGTTCATCTACTGATGAGAGCCGTGATGTTAAAGCAAGGCTATCTCCTGTCTTTCGACGGCAAGTTCACCATTTAGGAACTTGTTGATAGCAGCATGTTGCTGGTCTCTGCTTAGAGACTCCAACATACCAGTGATGGCGGGTTCGCCCATGAGCACACTCATTAGCCCGACTATCTCCCATTCTAAGTCACTCAGGTGGGAGTAGCCTTCGCGTGTGACGTAAAAGCTGTCGTCTTCTACGTCCAACATGTCCATGTTGGACGGACACTAAGAAGTCTCTGGACGGACTACGAAGTGCTACCAGGTGTAACGGGGCACCCTTTGTTTGGGTGCCACGAAACTTCACGTATGCTAATACGTGCAGAGGAAGCTAATCTACTTAACCAGCTGGTTTGAGTAAAGGGTAAATAGAGAACTATATTTAATATAGTTAAGCTACCGATATAACGTTAATCTTTATCTAACTATATTATACTACGTCGTCGTATGACTACAACCTGCTCACCACTCATTACGCGCGTCTAGCAGCGATTGATGGTAACCTTGGTTAATAAGTCCCAATTAACATATCTTTGAGCAGCGCAAAAATATTATCCTACAAGTGGATAATATTTCTTCAATATTTTCCATCTCGATAGTATCGATAGGGAATTGTCACGCTAGACAATCTCCCTATTGACAACGTTTGGTGTCAATATCATGTAACGGGCTACCCCGTTACAAGCGGGATTCGATCGCTGTCTTGCATCTGGTCTCGATCCGCCAGCTATAAGGTGTAAGTGTTTCAGGTGTCCAACCTGGCTGAGTGATCATAATGAACGCAATTTACGATCATTGATTAAAGTGTCTGTCGTTCTCACATACGAAGTACGTGCCCATGTGTAACGGGATTACACGTAGTTGGGTACCTGGTACCCTGTGGCTTAGACACAGGGATGATATCCTACTGAAAGAGCTACAGAATATCATATTTTTTTATAGGGGCTGACTGGTGTCAGCCACTGGATAGGAGAGATCTTAGTTGAACTAACTTAGAATGAGATTTTTATAGGTGTAAATGTAAAAAAATTATAGTTCCCCTTTTGATCTTAATGACACGTGCCTTGCGAGGCGTCTTTGGTCGTTGATCGCTGATCACTAAGAGTTATCAACACCTCCTTGAGGTAGCTAGTTACTCTTGAGCACTAAGTGCTGTCGGCTCACTGAATCGTTTGGTCCCCTGAAACAAGGACCATAAGCTTTACGCTTATTGACTCATTGGGTCTAGTTCTTTATAACTAAGTTGCTCGTTGAGCGTTTAGTCTTCCTCTGACTTAAGGAGCTGTGTAGCTCTGCTACATCATGTTCTCCAATTTGCTAGCGTGTTCTAAAACATGCATCGAAAAAGGAGCGACCTCGTAGCAAGAGCACGTTCATTACAAAAAAGATACCACTCCTTATGATTCATCGGAACAGGAAGGCTTGTACCTTCAGTTCATAATGGACGATCCTGGAGGCACGACATATAAAAAGGTCAAAACGGACTCTGAGTATTAACCGGCAGTCCACGTTTTAGTGGCCTACCACTGGAATATGGGCTGCCAATTAACGCCCTACACACCTCAAGAATTGTATGATTTATCGGTACGACTATGACAGTTGGAGCAATCATTTGTTGCTTCGCTCATTTTTCGTTGCTTGCGACCCCGGTGGCCTAGTGAAGAAGAAATGGCAACGGGACCGGGAGGTACACGTTCCGATATACGTGGGGGCGATTCAATATATGACGCCGGAGATTGGCTCCCAAGTACCATCCTTGGACATCGCTCTTCGGTCTACATAACGGTAATACCTCAACGGGAAATTGTAAATTACCATAGGTTTTCGCCTAGAAAAATGTGTTACAATTAGGCTATCCATTAGCATTTTATAAAAATGTATACCAAAAAAGGTGAAGAAAAAATCACGTTATATCGAACTCCAATAGATACGTTTCTTAAAAAAGTAGAACACATGCTTTTTAAACGGACTACAGTCTTCAGTTGCGAGACGACGGCTCCTCCAACGGCCATGTGGGAAATAAGGGCGTGACGGCAACATTTGCAGCAACGGAGACTGACCCGTTGGTACCTGCAGCAGTTGGAAAAGCAGCGGCACCGGACGAGACAGTGTCAGCAGAGGCGGGATTGGCTGCATCATCGCGTAACAGATCGAGAGGTAAGATGGCGGCGGTATTTCCAAGTGCTCGAGTCGCGACGGCGGCACTTGAAACGGGTTAGACAAAATTACCACATCTTTGGATTGGGCAGGCTCAATCATCACACGTGAGAGACACTAAAGCCGGTTGTGGCTGTTTTCAATGGTTGCAGGTGTTGCGAGCGAGCTGCCTCTTCAATAGCTCGAAATCCGAGGTATGGCGCATCGTTAATCTTTGATTCGACCGCTTTTGAGAATTTGCTTTCTGGATGTTAAAGGGGCAGGATACCAAAATTTCGGGGTCGAAAGCATTGTTGTTTCAGTCGATATCCGATCGCCATTGTAAAACAAGTTCGATAACCTTAATGGGTTGTCTTGTGTCTATGTGGCAGCAGATAACATGCGCACGTGGGATCCCTAGGACTCTTAAGTAATAGTCAGTGCACGCCTTGAGGTTCGCGCGATCGAGGGAGAGCAGATACTGTATTTTAGGAGTACCAGCGCCCATCGCGATATCTTGCGATGGAGCTTCGAAAATATCTTAATCGACAAATTCGTGAGCATCTCTCATCTTTCCTTTGCCATCGTTTTGCTGATTCGCTTGTATTAATCAGATTTAACACCCCTTAAAATTCTCTCGCAGACGTCGAGAAGAGTTCCGCTCGCGCTGTTAAGCCAATTTTTAATGTTTGCGTGATGCGCACCCTCAACTCGTGAGTGACTGTGTGTCCAAAATTTTGGAATCGGTCGATGATGAATGAAGTTCAATGGTGTCGAAGAGGGAACTTGATCTTGTCGAGGTGTGCAAATTGTCATGTCAATCTGTATAATATACAATTATATACCAAATACAAATCAGTAAATAAATAATAGTATCGGTCAAAAATATTGTAACTTCGCGCGATAAAGAACTTACTGCAATAGTTGGGAGCAGTTGCCAAATTTGCATAAACCAACATTCTGTAGGCGCATGAATAATAGCATTCCAGTGATCCATGAAATCTATCTATCAATCCTCACCGGCACAAAATCTTATCAATTATAGGCAATAGTATTGCTTACAATATGGAGCTGACAGATTATGCAAAATGCGCGTAGCCACTTCTCAGTAATAGCCTCAATGAGGCCAACGTCGCTATCGACGACAAGGATATTTGGAGGCTGAAAAAGAAAACTTGTTGATCTCATAATTCATTCATACTTAGTCGATAAATTCCTCTTCGTTCATGAATTTAACAACATCATCACAGTCTGGTTTGCACACGTAAATCCGACCATTTGCAAGAGTGGAAGGCCGTAACCATTCGTCTTGTAGGTGCAATCTATTACAACAACCTTGTCATATCGGCGGATGAATTTAATGAATGCTGTGGTTGCCAATTGAGAAGCTGGACGTGATTGCATTCGTCCACCGCGACCGTAGCTTTTATCTTCTAATTTTTAAGGTGGTCCATATACGCCTCCGTGTGAGTTTTACTGCTCAGGGCCTTCAAGTTTACCTTACCTTATTAGCAATATTCTGAACATGTTTTCCTAGATCATGACGTTCATCCCCTTTAACTATAACCCAGCGAAGGGAATAAAAAACCTAAATGTTTATGTATTAATATAAGCTTTATAAGAGTAGCATATGCACACTTCCGGAGAAAATAATGAGCTTTGAAAATGATATAGTTGCTTTATGAGTATTATATGCACACTACTCGACCGTATAGTAGCTCCATCAGTATGCATCTGGCCATGGCGTCGACATCTTCCTCTTCCCTCGTTGCACGACAAGCCGCAGGTAGTGCCAAGCGTATGATTTATTAAACATCCGATATGGCCATTGTGGCATTAATTCACAGAGAGCGTCGACCAGGCGGTTTCTTCCGGAGCGTATTTGTCATATACGATCGCAAGATCATACAAGCAATCGATCTGTCTAGTGGAACGATCTTGCAATGTCATAGACCGATCGTCTGATCGCTTGTAGCGCTTTCCTTGTAAACAGCATAGAAAAAACGCGCTTGGTACCACTCTACTGCTGTGGAATATACCGACGGCAAAGCCTTGGCGAACGAAGTACTCTTTGACGGCCACTACTGCTTCCTCCTGGCTGTTTAAGGCCCGTTAGGTATTGTCTCTTCACACTTTCACGCCAAGGCTCCTTTGTCTTCGGCAAAAAAATCATTATGTACACAAGCACAAGCTTCTGCATCAGCGAAAGGCGATGGGAACCTCATCTCGATGATAGAAACAATCAAAGGTTGATAGAGACTGAAAGTGATGGCTAGGTGGCCTAGGGAAATGCGTTAATAAATAATTTAATACTTACGGGTATACACCAATCTAATAATAGTGAACATGATCGCGCCAAGCACCCTGCAACCATCACCAAAGCAAGATTACACCAGCAAGTAGTTATGTTACATCATTTATTCTTAGGCACCGTGCCACGTACTTGAACACTGGTAGTAAAAACTTGGCACTAGCCATAAAGTTGCTAAACTCACAGAACGCGACATTCGTAGGTCTGCACAACATCAGCAACAACAATATATAGGAAAATACCAGCAATAGCAATAAACACAACAGTAAGTGGTCATGTCTGTTAGTTACTCAGTCATCAGTCACATTTACGGAATATAGCTTCTCTCCTTCGTACCGCTTCGGCTATGGCTCCACCCATTGCAATATCCAGCTCCCGTATAATTTTATCGTATACCCAACTTGAGTATTATCGCTGACGTGAGTCCAGCAATGGGTTAAATCCCAATATACACAAACAAAGACCCGCATCCAGCGGCCGCAGTCTCAGCCCCAGCGGCACTTTCGACGTGGTCTTGGACAACCTCAAATTTTCTCCAGCGTCCATCGCTACGCCCCCCCAGTTCAGTAGCCACGTCTTCCTCCCCTCCTCCATCCTGATCGTTGCCTACATCGTCTATGGGACGTAAAGCGATGTCCATGGGGTGCTTTGGACTGACGTCTGATGATTGGTTGACGATCTACGGAGACGGCGGGGGGCGATCGCGAAAAGAGAAGAAACAGGAGCAATATCGTTGTGTGCGCCATGACACAGTCGACGTTACTAGATGCACGTGTAGCAATTGCTGAGCGTGTGCAAGGGCAGCGACAATAGCAGGATAACAAAACATTTTTGAGTACGCAGTCCGTTTAAAAAGTGGCGTCTCGCAACTGAAGACCGCACTATGTTCCAAAAGCGGAGTGTCCTGCTTATCTAAGAAATCTTTTACTGTAGTTCATTATAATGTGGTCTTTTCTTAACAATCTTTTGGTATATTTCAAATAAGGCTATTGAATAGCCTAACCGTAACTGTAACGGGGTGAATCGTTACATAACAATTTATAAGAAATTGTTAATAGAATATAACTATAAGAGTTATATTCTCAGAATATTGTCATAAGGACAATATCCTGTAGCACTTCCAAGTAGTTCCTAATTGGTTGATATAGGCCATTATATCAACCAACGAAGACGCGCCACGACAGACGCACGCAATGAGTGGTGAGCAGATAACTGATTTACACATTTGTATTTAGACATAGTTAGATGAAGATAAATAGTGATTTATTGCAGACATTAACTATTATAAATACAGTTCTACTTTTTACTCTAACCGAGTACTCGCTTCTTCTTACCGTCTTCCTCTGCACGTACGAGTGTACGTGAAGTTACGAGGCACCGCCTTATTCTGTTATCAGAATAAGTAGCTTGTACTGTCACCAGTACAAGCTTCAGGGTGCCCCGTTACACCTGGTAGCACTTCGTAGTCCGTCCAAGGACCGCGTTCACATCCAACATGAATATGTTGGATGATGAAAGATGACCAAAGCTTTCACGCTACGCGTGACGGCTACTCCCATTTGAGCGATGTCGAATGGGATGCGGTTGAACGAATGGGTTCGACCATGGGCATCCATGCTGTTAGCGTCATGCTAGAGGCTCTCAATAGAGATGCCCAACATGCTACTATCGCCAAGTTCATTCAAAATGAACTTGACGCAGAACGCGAGAAAGTAGCCTTGCTTCACCAACAAGGTTCTCAACAAGCAGAGTTGTTGAGAGAACAAGGTGCTCAACAGTTTGAACTGTTGAGACAGCAGCAAGCTGCTGCTGGCGGGTCGATGCACTCGCGTCGACCCGAGACTTTGAAGATTGACATCTCAAAGTATAGGGGGTCGAAGAAGACTCCCTCTTGAGATGGTTCGTCGAATTGGATGACGCCATAAGGGCGCGTCGCATCGACGACGGGGATATGCAAGTTGCATTTGCCCAGTCAAATCTGGCAGGACGTGCCAAGACTTGGGCACTGGGGCTCAAGCTGCACGACCCATACGCGTTTGGGTCGTTGGAAGTCTTCAAGTCGCGGCTCAGACAAACGTTTGAACCGCCTAGAGCTGAGTTCAGAGCTCGAACCGAACTCTTGAAGCTCAAGCAGGGTAAGCGTGATGTGCACGCTTACGCTCAACATATACGACATCTCACGAGTTGTATAAGTTCCAATCCGGTGGATGAACACACGTTGGTTTCGGTGTTCATGCAGGGTCTTGCGGATGGTCCCGTCAAGACTCACCTGTTCCGGCTTGAACTAGATTCACTAGAACAAGCCATTTCCATTGCGGAGCAGGAAGACTTCAGTCTGAGACAGGCTCGCGCCAGCTCGACATCATATCGTCAACCGAGACGATATGACAACGGAGGTCCAGAGCCGATGGAACTCTGTTATGTAGAGAGCGAGAAGGCTCGCTCTACAGGCTACAAGAAGTTGCAGAGATGCAACAGATGTCAGAAGACAGGACACTACGCTTACGAGTGTAGTGCCCCTCGTCCAGTGTCTCGCGACACTGGGCGTAGTGACCGTCCACCCATGAGAAAGGGGGCAGGGACGAGGGTCCGCAGTTGGTGCAAAGACGCAACAACGGGATGGACCGTCAAAAAACGGACAGGATCAGTAGGTGCGGAGCACCCTACTGATCCAGCAACGTCAAGAGAATTTGTAGGCCTCTTGATGAAGGTTGCTCCCAACACACAGACATTGTGCGTTGCTGCTCTAGGTAATGAGATCTCACTCATTACCTTGAAACTCGAAGTGACGAATAAGTTGTCCCTTCGAGCTCTAGTCGATTGTGGGGCGTCCAACAATTTTGTGCGACGCCAATCGCTAGAAGATGGTCACTTTAAATTCAGTGAATGTGACACACCTCCTACGAGAATGACGGTACGTCTTGCGACAGGCGCATCCGTAACCGTCATGAAGCGTATAGTGAAGATTCACTATACGCTAGAAGATACCCAATATGACGATGACTTTATCGTATTGGATTTGGATGACAAATTTGATGTCATCCTTGGAATACCGTGGCTCAGAAGGTACGAACCACGGGTAAACTGGCAACATCGGACAGTAACGATGCCTGCCGCTTGTTCATCAGATGGCCATCTGATGAACGTTTTGGAGCGTCCACAAGCGTGTGGATGTACTACGAGTGAGTGCGATGGCCTCACTTGTGGTACGGTCGTTAGTACGACTGCACAAAACCTTAGTGTACCAAACGGTTACACTTCGGAGCAAAGTTCCGGCGGCTGTGAGGAAACACAGGCTGCGCCGAAGGTCCACCACTCGAATAAGTCGGGTGGACTGGGACAAAGATGTATCCCTAGAGGGGAACATCTAGAAGAGAAACAATCGATCGCTCAGGTTAAGCGAAACGATAATCCTAGATCGACTGGAGAGTCTTTCGTAGAGGATCTCGCTGTGGTTGCGCAACCCCAGCTAGAGGAAGTAAAGGGAATAAGTCCCAAGATTACAAATACGGCGGAAATAAGTTCCCCGAAACCCGCGGGAATAAGTCCCCGGGAAGACGAAGGAATAAGTCCTTCGAAGCCTGAGGGAATAAGTCCCCAGGAAATGACAGAGACATTGAATGTCATAGTCAATAACGGATCATGTGTAGGCGCTTATACACTTGATCTGATTGCGCCTCCGAAGTTAACTTCGGAGATCACTCAGTTGCCAACGCTCGAACATAAAAGGTTCTTGCGTGATCTGCGTAGTGGCAAAGTCAAGCAGATCTGCATACTCGTCGCTGACGACGAGTGTGTAACCGACATAAGGTCAGCAACAGTGTTTACTGAGAACGAGAGAGTTCTCAGTAGTTCATCTATGGACGAGAGTGTCCTAGATGAAAAGACACGAATTGAGCGATATGAGTCCCAATCATGGGAATCGCTCAAGGAAAATCCTCTCTATGAGGATTTGGTTGAATTCAAGGATGTATTCCCTGAAACTGTTCCGTGCGAATTACCGAAGGATAAAGGTATTCGACACGAAGTCGAGCTTAAACCAGGCTCGAAGTACTGTGTCATGAAGCAGTGGCCACTGCCTCGTGAACAAGTACTTGCGATCGACAAGTTCTTTGCCGATCGTTTAGCAGCGGGCCATGTGAGGGAATCAACTTCCCCACATAGCTCTCCGACCTTCTGTGTGCGAAAAGCAACAGGAGGGTGGCGGATAGTGCACGCGTTTAACAAATTGAACGCTGCAACGGTACCGGCTCAGACGCCGATACCGAGGAAGGACGTAATCATTGATGGTATGTCAAAGAGTACCATCTTTTCGTCCATGGATTTGATGGATGGCTTCTATCAAATCCTAATGCGGGAACGGGATATACCCTATACCGCAGTTAGCACGCCTAGCGGCATGCTCTGGGAATGGCTAGTAATGCCACAAGGGCTCAGTAATGCCCCTGCCACGTTCAACAGGTGTGTATCACATCTGTTGAGGCCAGTACGAGAATTCGCGCCGAGTTATTTCGATGACGTATTCATCCATAGTCGAGCTATGGATGGAAAGTCGGACGTTGAGGTTCACAAGTACCACGTCCGACAAGTTCTTACAATCATGCGAAAGCATCAATTGTATGCAAACCTCAAGAAGTGTATATTTGCAGCAAGCGAAATACCACTTCTTGGGTGCATCGTTGGTAAGAACGGTGTACGTCCTGATCCCGAAAAGATCAAGGCGATCACCGACTGGCCCGTGCCGGTCGATGTCAAAGGTCTTCGAAAATTCCTTGGGCTAGCGGCGTATTTGCATAAGTATTCACGCAATTACGCCGAGATGACTGTACACCTCTCTCGTTTGTTGAAAAAGAACGAGAGGTGGTTATGGAACGCTGAATGTCAACGCTCCTTTGAGGGTATCAAGCAGAGCTTGATACAATCCCCAGTCCTAGCAATAGCCGATCAGGACAGGCCATTTCATGTGGTCTGTGATGCCAGCGATTTCGCAATCGGCTGTGCATTAATGCAGTACGACCTTGAAGGCGTTGAACGCGTCGTCTGCTATCAGTCGCGTCAGCTGCAACCAGCTGAGCGGAACTATCCAGTGCATGACAAGGAACTCCTTGCCATGAAGTATGCACTCGCGAAGTTCAGAGTCTATCTATTAGGAGATAGACCCTTCGTTGTTTACACTGACCATGCGTCCTTACGCACGGCAGTGAACAGCCCGCACCTTTCACAACGAATGGCGCGGTGGTTGTCATTCTTTGCAGAATACAACTTTACGGTCGAGTACAAACCAGGACGACTTAATGTCGTCGCTGATGCACTCTCACGTCGTCCCGACTTTGAAACAGTCGCGAAACCCAACAGTGAGACAGTCACTGTTGCGGTTATGACGTCCTCAGTTCCATCTACAACGTTGTATGATGATGTGAGGCGGGCATACGCCCAAGATGGTGAGATAGTGAAGTTGTTGTCACATCTCTCCCAACCATCTCGAGAATCGTTGAAACGATTGTCGTCTGCGTATCGATCTGCATCAGATCGATACACTACTCGTAACGGTTTACTGTACTATACAGCCGTTTCTGGTGACACACCACGTGTTGTCATTCCAGATGATACTGATCTGCGTTTGCGGATCATGTTCGAAGTATCACGATGCTCCTATAGGAGGACATCGTGGCCGAGAGAAAACATATCTCACGGTAAGTCGAGACTTTTACTGGCCCCGCCAGTATCAGTTTGTGCGAAAGTATGTTCGCGCATGCGAAGTCTGCCAACGAGTGAAGTCAAGTCCTTCACTGCGTGCACCTTTACAGCCTCTACCGGTTCCGGCTGAGTGCTGGGAATCCATCTCAATGGATTTCGTCTTCGGGTTACCCAAAGACGCACGCGGGAATACGGGTATTCTCGTATTTGTTGACAGATTCAGCAAAATGGTACACCTTGTGGCTGTACCAGAGACAATCACGGCAAGTGGCTGTGCTTGTGTCTTTATTGACACCATCTTCCGACTTCATGGGTTGCCCCGTGAACTCGTATCAGACAGAGATCCACGATTCACTGCTGATTTCTGGCGTTCCGTGTTCAAATCACTCGGAACGCGCTTGAAGATGTCAACATCTGATCATCCAGAGTCAGATGGTCAGACGGAACGTGCCAACCGTGTCCTCGAAGAGATACTTCGAGGATACGTACACTCCTTTAAAAGTTGGAGTGAGTTTTTGCCAATGGTAGAGTTTGCCATCAACAACTCGGTGCATGCGTCCACGACACATACACCGTTTTACGTGAATGGCTTGCGCCATCCGCGTGTACCCACCTTACTAGAGTGTAACTCTGGTTTAAGGGGGGAGGGACTCGCGCGAGCAAAAACCGATTTGGTTCACGCTCATCACGCTCTGACGAAGAAGTCATTGCGTTTGATGCCGATATCGATAACATCGATATCGAAGAAGATGATGCCAGTGAGAGTGCGGAAGCCCTCACTGAAGACAATGATCCCAGTGAGAGTGCGGAAGCCCTCACTGAAGAAAAGGTTGTTGTCGCTGCAGTGCGCTCACAGCACACTGAAGCTAACGAGTCATCAGATGAGTTCATACTGGCTCGTGAAACGGTAGTCCGTTTTGTGCAAGACTCCATCGCCGAAGCGGTGGATAAGCAAAAAGCAAAACGCTGACAAGAATGGAAGGGCAAACACTCTTTTATTTAATAAAGGTGACTTAGTCCTACTGTCTACGGTTAATCTACCAAAACATGTAGTGACTAACTTGGGTAGCAGTAAACTACTACCCAAGTACATTGGCCCATTTCGTGTATTGCACCGCCTAGGCAATGCATACACGATCGAGTTACCACGTAAGATGCGAACGCATCCCACGTTTTACGTTGGTCGGCTTAAGCCGTACCATCAGTACGCTGCTTCTTCCGATGAAGAACGCCCTTGCGCTCAAGCATCTCGCAGAGAGCCTTGTGCTCCCGATGGTGGGCATCAACAAGGGTCTGAAGAGCAGTTATCTCAGCCCGAGACCGATCAACAATCCCACGAGCTACCCTTAGCTCGTCACGAAGAGATGTCAGAGATCTCTCGTTCTCAAGCTGAGCAAAGGCAAACTCAGCTCGATGCTTCGAGGCAGTGTCCACCATCTGGAGACGCCTATTCCGCTCATGCTCGAGATCGTCGCGTAACCCTTGCGTTACGCGATCAAAAAGCTCTCGGGAACACACCGATCCACATGATCGTGTGGAGAGCGTCTTTCCTCCTCCTCCACCTCCATTAGAGGACTCTCGCGGTGGCCAGCGCTATCTAGTAGAGCAGCTGTTGAACCACCGCGACGTGAACGGACGTCGGACGAGTTACCTCGTCCGGTGGCGCGGCTATCCCCCGTCCTGGGATTCTTGGGAGCCCCGCTCCCAATTGATGGTTGACGTACTGGGTCTGGTCGAGCAGTACGACGCGACACATCCTGTGCCGCAGAAGGACCGCCGGAGAAAGTCTTCCCGGCACGGTCGTAAAGGGATTTCAGGTTGTCAATCCCTTCGTACATCTCAGTAGAGACACGTACGCGCCACCACGGGCTGGTAAGGAGGTAAGCCTCCTTAGGTGCTCGTGCAGAGTTGTTCACACAACATGGGCACGAGTCTCCCCAAGAGAGGCAGGGTAATCCTTTCTCCCTTGACAGACGATGCAGCTTATAGCGTGCACCTGTCGGGGGTTCGCTTTTCAAACTTATCACGAGCTTTGATAAGTTTGTCGTTCCAAGCGTCACGACCTACATCCTCGAGATTATGGATGTAGGCGTTCCACGCCTGAAGTAGTGAGGGACCATCACGTTTGTGATTCCCACTGTACCATCGATGTCTGAAGAAAGCATCGATGAAGAACTCATGTTCAGCGCGATAGTCTTTCGCGCTGGGGTCAAGGTGATGGATCCTTGACGAATCGAACAATCGTGTTCGATAACGATCACTCGTCGTCGCCGACAAGTGATCCATGACGAATTTAGGAGGCATCCATGCCTTCTTTTCTGGAGCGAGACGCAACACATTGCGGTCCCGCTCTTCCTGCGACGTGCCGACAGAAGTACTGGCACCTCGCTGTGAAGTGGTGTCCATTGGAGAAACGACACCACTATTAGCGCCCGAGTCTCGCGACCTCGAGCGCCTTCGCTTCGGCGATGGTTCATCTGACTCATCAGATGAACCAAAGATGCTGCGACGCAAAGCATCGTCCATGCCACGCTTGGCAGGCGGCTTGGATTCAATTGCCGTCGATACGGATCCGTCATCCGTATCAGGAGAGTACGAGACACCGAGCTCGTACTCTGTGAAGACACGAGTGTCTTCATGACCAGCGCCTGCATCACCAGGTGATACAGGCTGAGTCGATTCAGCAACCGATGGGATATCAGTTGCTGTAGTTTCTGCTTCGGCGTCCGCACAGAGACGTGCAGACGCGCTCTCGGCGGCCTTGCTCGCGCATCGCATGGGCTTGTTTACCATGCGATGAGATGTTGGAAAGTGGACGCGGACCAACAAGTGCAAACCCCGTCCCAAATGATTTGGGACGAGTATCCATTTAGTCAATCAGTCACTAAAGTGACTGATGGTTAAGGGGGGTGATGTAACGGGGTGAATCGTTACATAACAATTTATAAGAAATTGTTAATAGAATATAACTATAAGAGTTATATTCTCAGAATATTGTCATAAGGACAATATTCTGTAGCACTTCCAAGTAGTTCCTAATTGGTTGATATAGGCCATTATATCAACCAACGAAGACGCTGCCACGACAGACGCACGCAATGAGTGGTGAGCAGATAACTGATTTACACATTTGTATTTAGACATAGTTAGATGAAGATAAATAGTGATTTATTGCAGACATTAACTATTATAAATACAGTTCTACTTTTTACTCTAACCGAGTACTCGCTTCTTCTTACCGTCTTCCTCTGCACGTACGAGTGTACGTGAAGTTACGAGGCACCGCCTTATTCTGTTATCAGAATAAGTAGCTTGTACTGTCACCAGTACAAGCTTCAGGGTGCCCCGTTACAGTAACACTGTTGTCTGATGGGAACACCTACGTTTTTACCGTTCCACATGCCTCAACAACAAAATCAAATCGTTTTTTTTCATTGGTTTCGTCTACACCGCTTTCTTGTACAATATCATGCTCGAAGAAGATGGAGAAGGGCATTTGCCGTAACTATATCGCAACACATTGATATTCGCTGCTTTCGCTCCCTGTCTGCACTCCTGAGTGGATATCCGATTCCACGTGCCCTCTGTGAAGTGTCCGCCGTAATGACCGAAGAGCGAAGCCAAGCAGACTAAGCCAGCGCGGAGGTCATGATGAAGTTTAGACATCAGCACACCAATATTGTAATGGGGTGAGCCTGTTACACGTAATTGACCCTAAATACTTGTCAATAAGAATAGTATCATATAGGCATATCGTGTTCGTAAATATTGCCATAAGGGGTAATATTTTTTTTCAAAAACATTTACCGATTGGCTGACATGGTCCATCATATCAGCCAGTTCTAGCGATCCGAACAGCGATGGACGCTCATAAAGAGTGGTGAACTAGACTTATAATTAAGTAGGACTAAAACGTAGGTACAGATTAGGTCTGAATGACATTTAGAACAATTTTACCTTTACCGACTACTCGTCAGCTTGCTTTGTTGCTTTACCTTCCTCTGCGTAGTTTACATAGGTCGCGAGGCACCACTCACACTGCTTTAGGTAAGAGTAGTTATACACTTGTTGTTTAGTGTGCATCTGATGCCCTGTTACAACTAGTAGCAATTTGAAGTCCGTACAAGGACCACAAAACCCGTTCAACATGAACGTGAACATGTTGGACGACGAAGGTGACGACACCTCTCACGGCACCCGTGAAGTTTACTTCTTATTGAGCGTGTCGAATGGAATGTGATCTAACAAATGGGTTTGACCGTTGGCAAAGAAGATGTCTGGTCTCTGCTATCCTCAAGGAATAGGGACCAGCAGCAATAAGTAATTGCCATGTTCCTGCATCGAGAACGTGACGCGTCGCGAGCTGTAGAGCCAACTCCATCTATACGGTTCCTAGCAGACTCATTTTCTGAGACACCAACAGGTTAAGGATGCTTCTGCAGCGTCGACGCGTGAGCGTCGACACGAGATTATATAGTTAGAAGTATTTAAGTATCGGGGAGTCGAGGAAGGCTCCCTCTAAAGATGGTTTCTCTTAGTAGACGATTCCATTAAGGCTCGCCACATCGACGATGAGGAAGTGCAAGTTGCGTTTGCCAAATTGAGCTTTTCAGGGAGTGCCGGAAGTTCGACCCTAGATCTTCAATTACATAATCCAAACGTGTTTTAATCGCTGGCAGTCTTTAAGACTCTTAGACTAGTGCAGATGCAATAACTACAACTAATAACAGAGTAGATGAACAGGTTATGATCTCACATCTACCGCTCCGACGTATCACGTCGGACGGAGCGGTACTGGGTGGTTGGGGGACGTAGCGTGGAAAGGGAGGGGTAGGAAGCGGAGGGTTTATATGGGAGTAGTGGGCAGTAGGAGAGTTACTCGCGTGCGATCAAATTTTTAATAATAGCATTTAGCTCCCCGATACACCTATTGAGATCCCGATGGACGAAGCTATCAGTGTGCGCTGGTTTTTGTGCTGAGCTACTAATTGTACTTATCTGTGTGTATGTGCCTATCTGTGTGTGTAGCTGCGAACAACGCAGATAGGTATATATTACACGTACTATAACGATCTAGTCCATCTTTCCTCATAGATATATAAGCATATCCGAAGCAGGGCTGGCACCACGATTTTTCTCCGAGCGGTTTTTTAGGCTCGATTAAACTCCCGATGAATTGAGAATCCCCACAAATCTACCATTTTGCTTGTTCTTTGTGCAGTCCGTAGCGCAGTCCATGGCGCAATTCTCCATTCAACCATGCTCTCATACGTACCTATGAGTCGTATCATGTCCGCCTTTTCGAAGATGGCGCATGTTTATCGAGGCCAGATGAGATAGTAGGGGAAATTTCAATCGTTAGGGTGGAGGTCTCAGTCGTGGATGAAGCATTAGAGTGGTCAGGATGACTGTCTGGAGTCAGAGTATGGTATGACAATGCTTCACAAATGTTGTGCAAACGCAGAAGCTTAAGGCAGAGGTTTGCAAACACTGCCGATGTAACGGGGTGAATCGTTACATAACAATTTATAAGAAATTGTTAATAGAATATAACTATAAGAGTTATATTCTCAGAATATTGTCATAAGGACAATATTCGGTAGCACTTCCAAGTAGTTCCTAATTGGTTGATATAGGCCATTATATCAACCAACGAAGACGCGCCACGACAGACGCACGCAATGAGTGGTGAGCAGATAACTGATTTACACATTTGTATTTAGACATAGTTAGATGAAGATAAATAGTGATTTATTGCAGACATTAACTATTATAAATACAGTTCTACTTTTTACTCTAACCGAGTACTCGCTTCTTCTTACCGTCTTCCTCTGCACGTACGAGTGTACGTGAAGTTACGAGGCACCGCCTTATTCTGTTATCAGAATAAGTAGCTTGTACTGTCACCAGTACAAGCTTCAGGGTGCCCCGTTACACCTGGTAGCACTTCGTAGTCCGTCCAAGGACCGCGTTCACATCCAACATGAATATGTTGGATGATGAAGATGACCAAAGCTTTCACGCTACGCGTGACGGCTACTCCCATTTGAGCGATGTCGAATGGGATGCAGTTGAACGAATGGGTTCGACCATGGGCATCCATGCTGTTAGCGTCATGCTAGAGGCTCTCAATAGAGATGCCCAACATGCTACTATCGCCAAGTTCATTCAAAATGAACTTGACGCAGAACGCGAGAAAGTAGCCTTGCTTCACCAACAAGGTTCTCAACAAGCAGAGTTGTTGAGAGAACAAGGTGCTCAACAGTTTGAACTGTTGAGACAGCAGCAGGCTGCTGCTGGCGGGTCGATGCACTCGCGTCGGCCCGAGACTTTGAAGATTGACATCTCAAAGTATAGAGGGGTCGAAGAAGACTCCCTCTTGAGATGGTTCGTCGAATTGGATGACGCCATAAGGGCGCGTCGCATCGACGACGGGGATATGCAAGTTGCATTTGCCCAGTCAAATCTGGCAGGACGTGCCAAGACTTGGGCACTGGGGCTCAAGCTGCACGACCCATATGCGTTTGGGTCGTTGGAAGTCTTCAAGTCGCGGCTCAGACAAACGTTTGAACCGCCTAGAGCTGAGTTCAGAGCTCGAACCGAACTCTTGAAGCTCAAGCAGGGTAAGCGTGATGTGCACGCTTACGCTCAACATATACGACATCTCACGAGTTGTATAAGTTCCAATCCGGTGGATGAACACACGTTGGTTTCGGTGTTCATGCAGGGTCTTGCGGATGGTCCCGTCAAGACTCACCTGTTCCGGCTTGAACTAGATTCACTAGAACAAGCCATTTCCATTGCGGAGCAGGAAGACTTCAGTCTGAGACAGGCTCGCGCCAGCTCGACATCATATCGTCAACCGAGACGATATGACAACGGAGGTCCAGAGCCGATGGAACTCTGTTATGTAGAGAGCGAGAAGGCTCGCTCTACAGGCTACAAGAAGTTGCAGAGATGCAACAGATGTCAAAAGACAGGACACTACGCTTACGAGTGTAGTGCCCCTCGTCCAGTGTCTCGCGACACTGGGCGTAGTGACCGTCCACCCATGAGAAAGGGGCAGGGACGAGGGTCCGCAGTTGGTGCAAAGACGCAACAACGGGATGGACCGTCAAAAAACGGACAGGATCAGTAGGTGCGGAGCACCCTACTGATCCAGCAACGTCAAGAGAATTTGTAGGCCTCTTGATGAAGGTTGCTCCCAACACACAGACATTGTGCGTTGCTGCTCTAGGTAATGAGATCTCACTCATTACCTTGAAACTCGAAGTGACGAATAAGTTGTCCCTTCGAGCTCTAGTCGATTGTGGGGCGTCCAACAATTTTTGTGCGACGCCAATCGCTAGAAGATGGTCACTTTAAATTCAGTGAATGTGACACACCTCCTACGAGGATGACGGTACGTCTTGCGACAGGCGCATCCGTAACCGTCATGAAGCGTATAGTGAAGATTCACTATACGCTAGAAGATACCCAATACGACGATGACTTTATCGTATTGGATTTGGATGACAAATTTGATGTCATCCTTGGAATACCGTGGCTCAGAAGGTACGAACCACGGGTAAACTGGCAACATCGGACAGTAACGATGCCTGCCGCTTGTTCATCAGATGGCCATCTGATGAACGTTTTGGAGCGTCCACAAGCGTGTGGATGTACTACGAGTGAGTGCGATGGCCTCACTTGTGGTACGGTCGTTAGTACGACTGCACAAAACCTTAGTGTACCAAACGGTTACACTTCGGAGCAAAGTTCCGGCGGCTGTGAGGAAACACAGGCTGCGCCGAAGGTCCACCACTCGAATAAGTCGGGTGGACTGGGACAAAGATGTATCCCTAGAGGGGAACATCTAGAAGAGAAACAATCGATCGCTCAGGTTAAGCGAAACGATAATCCTAGATCGACTGGAGAGTCTTTCGTAGAGGATCTCGCTGTGGTTGCGCAACCCCAGCTAGAGGAAGTAAAGGGAATAAGTCCCAAGATTACAAATACGGCGGAAATAAGTTCCCCGAAACCCGCGGGAATAAGTCCCCGGGAAGACGAAGGAATAAGTCCTTCGAAGCCTGAGGGAATAAGTCCCCAGGAAATGACAGAGACATTGAATGTCATAGTCAATAACGGATCATGTGTAGGCGCTTATACACTTGATCTGATTGCGCCTCCGAAGTTAACTTCGGAGATCACTCAGTTGCCAACGCTCGAACATAAAAGGTTCTTGCGTGATCTGCGTAGTGGCAAAGTCAAGCAGATCTGCATACTCGTCGCTGACGACGAGTATGTAACCGACATAAGGTCAGCAACAGTGTTTACTGAGAACGAGAGAGTTCTCAGTAGTTCATCTATGGACGAGAGTGTCCTAGATGAAAAGACACGAATTGAGCGATATGAGTCCCAATCATGGGAATCGCTCAAGGAAAATCCTCTCTATGAAGATTTGGTTGAATTCAAGGATGTATTCCCTGAAACTGTTCCGTGCGAATTACCGAAGGATAAAGGTATTCGACACGAAGTCGAGCTTAAACCAGGCTCGAAGTACTGTGTCATGAAGCAGTGGCCACTGCCTCGTGAACAAGTACTTGCGATCGACAAGTTCTTTGCCGATCGTTTAGCAGCGGGCCATGTGAGGGAATCAACTTCCCCACATAGCTCTCCGACCTTCTGTGTGCGAAAAGCAACAGGAGGGTGGCGGATAGTGCACGCGTTTAACAAATTGAACGCTGCAACGGTACCGGCTCAGACGCCGATACCGAGGAAGGACGTAATCATTGATGGTATGTCAAAGAGTACCATCTTTTCGTCCATGGATTTGATGGATGGCTTCTATCAAATCCTAATGCGGGAACGGGATATACCCTATACCGCAGTTAGCACGCCTAGCGGCATGCTCTGGGAATGGCTAGTAATGCCACAAGGGCTCAGTAATGCCCCTGCCACGTTCAACAGGTGTGTATCACATCTGTTGAGGCCAGTACGAGAATTCGCGCCGAGTTATTTCGATGACGTATTCATCCATAGTCGAGCTATGGATGGAAAGTCGGACGTTGAGGTTCACAAGTACCACGTCCGACAAGTTCTTACAATCATGCGAAAGCATCAATTGTATGCAAACCTCAAGAAGTGTATATTTGCAGCAAGCGAAATACCACTTCTTGGGTGCATCGTTGGTAAGAACGGTGTACGTCCTGATCCCGAAAAGATCAAGGCGATCACCGACTGGCCTGTGCCGGTCGATGTCAAAGGTCTTCGAAAATTCCTTGGGCTAGCGGCGTATTTGCATAAGTATTCACGCAATTACGCCGAGATGACTGTACACCTCTCTCGTTTGTTGAAAAAGAACGAGAGGTGGTTATGGAACGCTGAATGTCAACGCTCCTTTGAGGGTATCAAGCAGAGCTTGATACAATCCCCAGTCCTAGCAATAGCCGATCAGGACAGGCCATTTCATGTGGTCTGTGATGCCAGCGATTTCGCAATCGGCTGTGCATTAATGCAGTACGACCTTGAAGGCGTTGAACGCGTCGTCTGCTATCAGTCGCGTCAGCTGCAACCAGCTGAGCGGAACTATCCAGTGCATGACAAGGAACTCCTTGCCATGAAGTATGCACTCGCGAAGTTCAGAGTCTATCTATTAGGAGATAGACCCTTCGTTGTTTACACTGACCATGCGTCCTTACGCACGGCAGTGAACAGCCCGCACCTTTCACAACGAATGGCGCGGTGGTTGTCATTCTTTGCAGAATACAACTTTACGGTCGAGTACAAACCAGGACGACTTAATGTCGTCGCTGATGCACTCTCACGTCGTCCCGACTTTGAAACAGTCGCGAAACCCAACAGTGAGACAGTCACTGTTGCGGTTATGACGTCCTCAGTTCCATCTACAACGTTGTATGATGATGTGAGGCGGGCATACGCCCAAGATGGTGAGATAGTGAAGTTGTTGTCACATCTCTCCCAACCATCTCGAGAATCGTTGAAACGATTGTCGTCTGCGTATCGATCTGCATCAGATCGATACACTACTCGTAACGGTTTACTGTACTATACAGCCGTTTCTGGTGACACACCACGTGTTGTCATTCCAGATGATACTGATCTGCGTTTGCGGATCATGTTCGAGTATCACGATGCTCCTATAGGAGGACATCGTGGCCGAGAGAAAACATATCTCACGGTAAGTCGAGACTTTTACTGGCCCCGCCAGTATCAGTTTGTGCGAAAGTATGTTCGCGCATGCGAAGTCTGCCAACGAGTGAAGTCAAGTCCTTCACTGCGTGCACCTTTACAGCCTCTACCGGTTCCGGCTGAGTGCTGGGAATCCATCTCAATGGATTTCGTCTTCGGGTTACCCAAAGACGCACGCGGGAATACGGGTATTCTCGTATTTGTTGACAGATTCAGCAAAATGGTACACCTTGTGGCTGTACCAGAGACAATCACGGCAAGTGGCTGTGCTTGTGTCTTTATTGACACCATCTTCCGACTTCATGGGTTGCCCCGTGAACTCGTATCAGACAGAGATCCACGATTCACTGCTGATTTCTGGCGTTCCGTGTTCAAATCACTCGGAACGCGCTTGAAGATGTCAACATCTGATCATCCAGAGTCAGATGGTCAGACGGAACGTGCCAATCGTGTCCTTGAAGAGATACTTCGAGGATACGTACACTCCTTTAAAAGTTGGAGTGAGTTTTTGCCAATGGTAGAGTTTGCCATCAACAACTCGGTGCATGCGTCCACGACACATACACCGTTTTACGTGAATGGCTTGCGCCATCCGCGTGTACCCACCTTACTAGAGTGTAACTCTGGTTTAAGGGGGGAGGGACTCGCGCGAGCAAAAACCGATTTGGTTCACGCTCATCACGCTCTGACGAAGAAGTCATTGCGTTTGATGCCGATATCGATAACATCGATATCGAAGAAGATGATGCCAGTGAGAGTGCGGAAGCCCTCACTGAAGACAATGATCCCAGTGAGAGTGCGGAAGCCCTCACTGAAGAAAAGGTTGTTGTCGCTGCAGTGCGCTCACAGCACACTGAAGCTAACGAGTCATCAGATGAGTTCATACTGGCTCGTGAAACGGTAGTCCGTTTTGTGCAAGACTCCATCGCCGAAGCGGTGGATAAGCAAAAGCAAAACGCTGACAAGAATGGAAGGGCAAACACTCTTTTATTTAATAAAGGTGACTTAGTCCTACTGTCTACGGTTAATCTACCAAAACATGTAGTGACTAACTTGGGTAGCAGTAAACTACTACCCAAGTACATTGGCCCATTTCGTGTATTGCACCGCCTAGGCAATGCATACACGATCGAGTTACCACGTAAGATGCGAACGCATCCCACGTTTTACGTTGGTCGGCTTAAGCCGTACCATCAGTACGCTGCTTCTTCCGATGAAGAACGCCCTTGCGCTCAAGCATCTCGCAGAGAGCCTTGTGCTCCCGATGGTGGGCATCAACAAGGGTCTGAAGAGCAGTTATCTCAGCCCGAGACCGATCAACAATCCCACGAGCTACCCTTAGCTCGTCACGAAGAGATGTCAGAGATCTCTCGTTCTCAAGCTGAGCAAAGGCAAACTCAGCTCGATGCTTCGAGGCAGTGTCCACCATCTGGAGACGCCTATTCCGCTCATGCTCGAGATCGTCGCGTAACCCTTGCGTTACGCGATCAAAGAAGCTCTCGGGAACACACCGATCCACATGATCGTGTGGAGAGCGTCTTTCCTCCTCCTCCACCTCCATTAGAGGACTCTCGCGGTGGCCAGCGCTATCTAGTAGAGCAGCTGTTGAACCACCGCGACGTGAACGGACGTCGGACGAGTTACCTCGTCCGGTGGCGCGGCTATCCCCCGTCCTGGGATTCTTGGGAGCCCCGCTCCCAATTGATGGTTGACGTACTGGGTCTGGTCGAGCAGTACGACGCGACACATCCTGTGCCGCAGAAGGACCGCCGGAGAAAGTCTTCCCGGCACGGTCGTAAAGGGATTTCAGGTTGTCAATCCCTTCGTACATCTCAGTAGAGACACGTACGCGCCACCACGGGCTGGTAAGGAGGTAAGCCTCCTTAGGTGCTCGTGCAGAGTTGTTCACACAACATGGGCACGAGTCTCCCCAAGAGAGGCAGGGTA